ATGCCCCTGACTCTGAACAGTGTCTATGTGTATGAGATGTGATGACCAGGTCTATGATCATGCTCAAGAAGCAATGTTCCCACATCCCACATATGTCATATGTAGGAACATGTGGATATAGAGTAATCATCTCTGGCTGTGTGTTTGTGTGTGTTCGGTGTCATCAAGGCCAGAAGAAAGTTCTCTCCCTTATGAGCCCCCTGGAAAAGAAACTCCTTCCTTTTTGTTACTATATCTGTTGTGTTGTTAATTATATAAAGAGGGTGCCTCTGTTCAGGACCACTGTCTTATGCTTAGATCTGAACAGAAGAAGCTGACACTTCTGAATAGAGCAGGCCACAGCATCTGTCTTTCTCCCTTTATGCAGCATGACCCCGGGGAAGGTTGTTCTCTCCTTCCACTATGTGAATCCTGGGAATTGAACTCAGATAATCAGGGTTGGCAGCAGGCACCTTTATCCACTGAGCCATCTCATCATTCTTTAAATGTTGCAGCATTTGGATTGTTCCTGGATACCAGGTTTATTACAGCAGTCTAACATCTGTTCACTGAGTTAATGAACTCTGCACTCAATTCAATATTCAGGCTCCATCACCATGTCCCTGAGGTTTCCTGTTTTCTATAAGCACCTGCATTTGGGAACCAGGATGTTGTCTGGTTTCACTATTTCTTTATCTCTTCCTCAATTCTCTCCCCCACTCCAGGTGAACTGACCACCTGTTGTTTGTTGGTAGAGTGGGGTTAAAAGTAGAGATGGGGCAAGAAAGTTCCCATGGGAAATTTGGGCCAACTCCTTTTCCCACAGTGTTTTCATGAATATTTCCTACCTTCAGTTCCTCTGCTGAGCATGGTTACATATCAGTCTTGCTGTTTTCAAAGCCATAGCCCATGGTCTCTCAAATCTTCTATCAGTGATGATCGGTCCATTGCCCCTTTAAGTAGTTTCTTTAGGGTAAACACACACACACACACACACACACAGAGAGAGAGAGAGAGAGAGAGAGGTCAGAGGGCATCTCAGGTGTCATTCTCAGATAGTTTCCATTTTTGTTTCTTGAGACAGAGTCTTACTACGACGTAGCCCTGGAAGGCCTGGAATTCAGGTATTCAAGTGGGTAGGCCTATTATTCAAAGCACAATAACATGACGGAAAACAGGAAGCAAGAAGCCCTTCTGGGCAGCAATTAAATCAGCATTCCCTGATGATATTTTGAGTTCAGATGATGACACTAGGGAATGGATAGAGCTGACCAGCTTGAACTCCATTAGGAAGTGGAGTTTATAGATAGTATGGGAGGGAACAAGGTCTCTGGTAGGAAGGCTGCAGTGATTGGGCAGAGAATGATGCTTTTTATAGCACCTGGGATGACTAATGATGACTATTAGAGGTGTGGCATATATGTGATAAAAATTTTGGCCTGAGCAGGTTGGGAAGATGGCTCAGTTGATAAAATACTTGCCACCCAAGTCTAGAGACCTGAGTTCAATTTTTATTACTCATGAAGAAAGCCAGATGATATATGAACACACACACACACTTAAAAATCTAAGGGGGAAAAAAGCCAGGTGTCCACAATCCCAGTGCTAGAGAGGCAGAGACAGGAGGATCTCTGAGGCTAGTTGGCCAGCTAGTCTAACTGAATTGATGAACTCTAGGTTCAGTGAGAGATGCTGCCTCAGGAAATAAGGTCTAAAAACAACTGAAGGAGACATCTGCCATCAACTTCTGATCTACACACACACGACATAAACACACAAAAAAGGTTTTGGATTGTTGAGTGTGATGGCTCATATCTGTAATTCCTGTACCTGCAAGGCAGAAGCAGGAGGACTCACCAGTTTGAGACAAGTTTGAGGCCAGCCTTGGTTTTGTAGCAAAACCCTGGCTCAAAACAAAACTGTTCAGCCATGTTATATTTGAGATATCCACTAGTCATGCAGGCAGATTGTGGAGTCAAATAGAGGTCAAAGCTCGATACCGTATGGGAGGTGAGGGGATGTAAGTGACCCCACCTACATTCAAGGGCCCAGGTGGATCCCTGAGGTCCTGGGTCTTACACTGGTCAATATGAATCTCAACTCAATGTGAGGGTTTTTGTTTTGTTTTGAAGTCTCATGCAGCCCAGGTTGGTCTTGAACTTGCTTTGTAGCTAGAAGGACCTTGAACTTCTGGTTCTCCTGACCCCACCTCCTATGTGCACCACCACATCCCACTTTGGGACAGTGCTACTGCCACATAATGGAGGTGAAGACTGAGGCATGGAGAAGCTAATTATGCCCTCCCCCCCCAAGATAATCCAACCAGGAATGCGTGGCAGAGCCCAGATTCAGACCTAAGAAAGCCTGACCTCGGAGGTGAGGAAGTGAAGGTGGTGAAAAGATGCCATGCACAGACAAGGGACTAAGGAGGTGGCCCACCCAGCTTGCCTTGCAAGTGTCAGGACATGAGTTTGGATATCTTCGAACCCAAGTAAAATGGCCAGGCTCAGTGGCACAGGCCTGAAGCCCCTGTGACATGGGAGGTGGAGACAGGAAGTAGCCTGGCCTACTTTGTGACCCTCCAGGTCAGTGAGAGGACCGACCTCAAAGGTTGTCCTCTGTCCTCCACATGTGAGAAGTACATGCATATGCAGAGGACAGCATGGTGTAGGGCGGAACAAGGAAGAAGAGACGAGGCAGATATAATAATGTGGCTGTGCTCAGGAAGGGATGCATGGCAGGAGTGATACTGGGTCTGGGCACTTGGGACACTGAAGTCTTCGATGAAGATGCTGGGTTTTAAAACAACCTTCATGTATGTATGTGTACCGCACATGTGCCTGGTGCCAGTGGAGGTTGGAAGGCATGGAACTGCAGTCATGGATAGTTGTGAGCCGCTGTGTGGATGCTGGGACCTGAACATGGGTCACCTGTAAGAGCAACAAATGCTCTTAGTTGCTGAGCCACCTCAGCCAAATAGTGGGCTTTTCTTTGATCCTTTTCTTCCTTTCTTCCCTTCCCCTTCCCTTTCCTTGCCCTTTCTTCCTCCCTCCCTTCCTTCCTTTTGTTTTTTGAGACAGAGTTTTTCTATGTAGCCTTGGTTGTCCTGAACTCATTAAATAGACCAGGCTGGTCTAGAACTTGAAGATCTGCCTGCCTTTGCCTCCTGAGTGTTGGGATTAAAGGTGTGCACCACCACTGGACCTTATATTGGCTTTTCATAGAGCTTTGTATCAGTGACTTAAGTGGAGACTGTTTTGAGCAAGGTCACTCCCCTTGGCTCAGTTTCTCTTCTACCTTTTCCTCTTGATCTCCTTGATGAACCCTTCTAGAAGTAGCTTCCAGAAACAGTGTGTCAGGACTCTGTGTACCAAAAGCAGCCCTCCGCTGTTGTGGAAAAATACAGATCAGGAAGAACAGATAGGCTGAATAGGTGTTTATTCAGGGAAAAATAACTTACAACAGAAACAAATGATTGCCAGCAGGTTCCAGTCCCAAGCATACCTCCAGATGCCCTATGTCTCCATCCAGGAAGCAAGAGAGAGCTCCTGGGTCCCCGACCCCAGACCTAGTTCTCTCAAGTCCCTTATGCACCTGTCCCCACCCCAATGTGCATGATCAGTGCAACAGGTGCAGACAGTGGATATCTTACTACATTCCCCACCCAAGCTAGAGCCAGCTCTGTGTACACATCAGCTAATCCCCACTTGATGTCAGATCCTTGCCACAGCCCACAGTGCTCTTTGGCAGTCTCATGTTCCTCTCCAGCAGCACCCACATCAGATTGCTCCTAACCCTCCCATGGACCTAGCTCACTCCTGCTTTCATGGAATAGTGTTCTCTTCTCCTTCACCCTTGCTTCTCCATTTTGCCCATCCTTCTGTCTCAGTTTAGCAGCCACATCTGTAGATAGCCTCTGACCAGATCCCCAGCTGGGGGAAGGGGAGTATTTAAAATTCAAGCCTGTGGCAGACATTGCATATTCAAACCATAATATTAAAATGTTTAAGTGGCTTATTTCATTTTAATCTGTGTGTGGGCATACATATGCATGTAAGTGCAGGTGCCAGTAAAGGCTGTAAGATGGTGTTGGATCCCCTGAAACCAGAGTCACAGGCAGTTGTGAGTCACCTGATGTGGGAATTAGGATATGAACTCAAATCTTTTTTTTGTTTTTCGAAACAGGGTTTCTCTGTGGTTTTGGAAGCTGTCCTGGAACTCTCTTTGTAGATCATGCTGGCCTTGAACTCACAGAAATCTGCCTCCCAAGTGCTGGGATTAAAGGCAAGCGCTACCTATGCCCCACATGAACCCAAATCTTGTGCAAGAATACTACACACTCTTGACCACAGCGCCATCTATTCAGCCCCTAATTAAAAAATTATTAGGGCTGGAGAGATGGCTTAGTGGCTAAGAGCATTTGTTACTCTTACAGAGGCTCCCAGCACCCACATGATGGCTCACAACTGTTCGTAACTCCAGTTCCAGGGGATCTGACACCCTCTTCAGGCCTCAATGAGCACAGGTGTATACATGGTACACTTATAAATAGCAGTGCAAAGAGAGAGAGAGAGAGAGCACAAAATAAACTAGTAACTATAGCCTACTTGGCATTATATAGTTCCACATGTAGTGACATGCATTTGTATATTCATATATTTGCATATTCATGTGTTATGATTTGCACATGCTTAGCAAGCATTTTATCAATTGAGCTATATAGCCCCAAACCCTGGCTTCCACGGTTTTTTTTTTTTTTTCTTTTTTTTGAGGCAGGGTTTCTCTGTGTAACAGCTCTGGCTGTCCTGGAACTCACTTTATAGACCAGGCTAGCCTTGAACTCAGAGATCCACCTGCCTCTGCTTCCCAAGTGCTGGGATTAAAGGTGTATATCATCACCACTGCCCAGCTCCATCGCTTACAATTTTTGAAGAGTTTAATTCAGTATCTCATTTTCTGGTCATTTATCTTAGATAGAAAGATGTGTGTTAAACTTGTGCACTGTTGATTCTTCCCAGTAGGATGGCTGAGTTGCTCTTCTGTGAGCCAACAGAACTCTATAACATCTTGAATCAGGTCTCAAAGCTGTCCAGACTAGCTGAACCCAACTACCTGTGCTTACTGGGTAAGTAGAAAACAGCAACACACCAACACTAACACACAGACACACAACACATACTACCAACACACACCAACATCAGCACACAGTTAACCAATAGGTATGTTGAGAACAGCAGCCTACAGATCTTCCTTTTGAAGGTTCAAAAAGTTTCGGGAGGGGGGAAATGAATGACATAAGAATGTTATTTTGTTGCTTGGTTCAAAATGCTGCCTGTGATTAGGCAGTAGATAAAATACTTGCCATGCAATCGTGAACACCAGTTTAGTTCCTAGCATCGTATAAAAGTCATGAGGTTTGGCAGACTGCCCGCAATCCCAGAACTCAGGAGGGGAAGATGGGCTATGCTGGGCAAGCTGGCTAACTAGACTCCATGAAAAGGTGAACCGCCTGGCAACACGCCTGGATCTCTGTGACTGAGAGACCAGCCTGGGCTACAGAGCAAGTTCCAGGACAGCCAGAGCTACACAGAGAAACCCTGTCCCAAACAACAAAACCAAGGGGGGGGGAGAAGGAGGGAGGAAGGAAGGAAGAAAGGAAGGAAGGAAGGAAGGAAGGAAGGAAGGAAAGAGAAAAATGGAAGGAAGAAAAAAAGAGGAAATAAAGAGGTATAGGTGGGGTGGTGGAGTTAAAGGTTTTTGTTTTGTTTTAAGACAGAGTCTAGGGACTGGAGCGATTACTCTGTGGGTAAAGGGGTTTGTTGCCAAGGCTGATAACACGAATCTCCCTGGACCCCACCTGGTGGAAAGAGAGAACTGACTCCCACAGATTATCCTATGACCTCCACTTGGGTGTGGCATGTTCAAACCCTCCAACACACACGTAAATGCAGAAATTATTTGAAGACAACAGCCTTACTATGAAGCCCTGGTTGGCTTCAAAATCACAATCTTCCTGCCTCCATCCCCCCACCTGCCCCCTTCTAGGTGTTGAGATCACAGATCTGTTTTTAGTGAACAATTACTCACCTACCCACCTACCCACCAGCAGTGTTCTTGTGTTCCTTTACAGTTCCCATTCTGAGTTCAACTCTTTTCTTTCCCAGATGTTCGCTCAAAAAGGCAATATGACCAGAGCCATGTGATCACTGCCCGGAGAGTGAAGAAGGTATTGAGCTGAGTCAGAGGCAGGAGGGTGGGGGGGGAGAGGAGGTTTTATCCTGGGTCTAGAGAATGGCATCAACTTTGAAGGACAGGTTGGCAGGGGCGGTGCATGGATCCCTCTCACATTCCCTGAGTTCTTTCTGGTAGACACTTGCTGTTCCTGCCATTATTCAGTGGGCAGTATGTTTTACATTCATGCTGGCTGTGACCTGGGACCTGAGGTCCATACAGCCTGTGTACACACTGTTCTCTCAGTCTAGTTGCTGGCATCTGGTAGGCCAGTCAGTACAGATTGTTGGCACATATGTACCAGTGACCAGAGAGAGTCCTTCCCTCTGCCAGAACACTTCCCAATCTTTGTTTACCATTTTGTGTGTGTGTGTGTTATGTGATTGTGCAAGTGTATTATGCAATCGTGTATGTGTATTATATGATCATGTGTGCATTGTATGATCATATGATTGTGTGTCTCTCTGTTTGTGTGCCTGTGTATATATGTGTGTGTGATGTATGTGTGGTGTATGTGTAGTGTGTGTCTGCATGTGTGTGTGCACTATATAATTGTGTATTATATAATTGCATATGTATATTACATGATCTTGTGTGTTATGTGATGTGATCGTGTGTGTGTATGTGTGATATGTGTGTGTGTGTATTATGGTTGTACAGGTCTATTATGCAATCATGTGTATTGTGTGATTGTGTGTATATTATTTTTATTTTTGTTTTTTCAAGACAGGGTTTGTCTGTGTAACAGCCCTAACTGTCCTAGAACTAGCTCTGTATACCAGGCTGGCCTTGAACTCACAGAGATTTTCCTATCTCTGCCTCATGTGTGTTTGTGTAAGCCAAAGGATAGTAGTTATCTTTTTCTATCACTTTGCACCTTATGTTTCTTAAAAATATTACATTATTATTTTTGAAAGGTGTGTGTGTGTACATGTGTGTGTGTACATGAGTGCACACAAGTACAGATGCTTGCAGAGTCCAGAAGAGAACATTGGATCCATTGAATTCCCTAGAGCTTGAGTTACAGGCAGATGTGAGCCACCCAAGGTAGGTGTTGGGAACTGAACTCAAGTTTTCTTCAAGTGTAGAAAATGCTCTTAACTTCCGTGTGATCTCTCCACTCCCTTTTATTACACTTACCTGTGTGTGTGTGTGTCCATCCCACCCCGTCTCTCTCTGCGGGGGGTGACTATGTATATGGGCATGGCCAGTGCATGTCACATATGTGGAGATCAGAAGATAATCTCTACATGTGGGTCCCAGTAATTGAACTATTGAACTCAGGTCCTCAGGCTTGTCAGCAAGCACCTTTACCTGCTGAGCCATTTCACTTATTAACCAGAGTCTTGGTATTTGGCCTAGATTGTCCCAGATCTCAAGACCCTCCTGCCTCAGCTTCTTCATGCTGGGATGTCATGTGTAGACTCCACTATGCAGCAGGCACCTTCCTGAATGTTCTCTTGAGCTCCTAGGTCAATGAATTTCTCCCTTTTGAGTTTGAGAGATCCTTGTTGGTCTGGACTTCTGTGGCTCTTAACTTCCTGCCTTGACATTATTCTGTAAAGCATGGGCACTTGTCACAGCCTCTTGCGTGCCTTCTATTGGGACTTCTGCATCAGATAGGCCAGGTTGTGATAGACAGCATCAAGCTCAGAAGGCTCCTCTTAATGATGGGGGCTGGGAGGGAATGCTGAGAGCAAGTGAAGGCCACACCCTGAGCTGTCCACCTAGGAATATTTGAGTTCTGGAACATCTGTTAGGTTCCTGTGTGAGTCTACTACTGTGAAACTACATCACCTCCCCAGAACAGCTGTCGCCTCCCCAGCACTCTTCTGCCCCGGTGACCTGACCCCTTCCCAGGTGACCTGACCCCTTCCCCAGGTGAGCCCTTCTCAGGTGACCTCACCCCTTCCCCAGGTGAGCTCATCAACTCAGTAATCAAACCTTTATTAGTTACTTTTCTCATTCTTTGCTGTGCCAAAACACTTGACAAAAGCAATTACAGGAAGTAAGGGAGGGCAAGGGGGGTATTTTAGGTCAAAGTTTGAGGGATATGGTCCTGTCCTAGTGGGGAAGGCATGATGGCAGGCATGTAAGCCAGCAGGTCACATACTGTCCATAATCAGGAAGCAGTGAGTGGACCAGAAATTAGGCTGGGTTATAAAACCTCAGCCCTGTGGTGGTGCCACATACCTTTAATGCCGGCACTGAGGAGGCAGAGGCAGGCAGACCTTTATGAGTTTGAGGCCAGCCTGGTCTACAGAAGGAGTTCAGAACAGCCAGGGCTACCCAGAGAAACCCTGTCTCAAACCACCCCTACTCCCACAGAAAATTAGAGAGAGAGAGGGAAAGAGAGAGAGAGAGAGAGAGAGAGAGAGAGAGCTGAGCACCAGTATCCATCTCTCTGTTTCCTGACTGTGGATGCCATGTGACCAGCTGCCCTAAGCTCCAGCAGCTACACCTTGTCCCCCACAACTGACTGTACCCTCAAGCTATGAGCTAAAATGAACCCCTCCTCCATTACACTGGTCTTGTGACAGCAGTGGGGACAGTCAGTAATACAGTTAGAGACTAAACAGAAGACACAAGTCCCTGACATCCCATAACCTGCTTTTGATTTCATGGTTCTCCTGGTGACATTTGCTCACTTGGGACTTCTGCTTTGGGACCCAAGCCTGCTCATCATCGTCATGAGTGATTTTGGGTTTGGGTCTACTGCCAACATCTCTTGTTCATCTGGCCACAGTGACTCTGAGGGGCTGTGAGTTCAGTAATGGATCAGTCATTCTCCAGCGTGGCCCTCTCCAGTCTGGTCCCCTGCTGCTATCCTTAGTGGGGGGTAGGGGAGACCCCTCTGGGATTGAAGAGACTCTCCCATCGTGGTGTTTCTGGCTCCTGAGTCAGCAAGGGAAGAAGGACCAGCCACTCCAACCCCTGCCTCAAGCTCCTTTGGGATGTTGTACAGGGAGAGTGTACCCAATTGAGATCCCCAGCAACACTTCATGTGGTTTCTTCAGAAGGAGAACCAGTACCTCATCCCAGAGTCTGTGGATCTGGAGTGTGTGAGATACTGCATCGTGTATGACAGCAACACCAGTTCCCTGGAACTGTGCATACGGCGGCGGTATGAGGATGATGATGATGAGGAGGAGGAGGAGGGGGAAGAAGAAAGAGACGGTGATGGCGAAAACACTGGTAATGACACCCCAAGAGAGTTCTTCTTAGTCTTTTTGTCTTTTTTTTTTTTTTTTTTTTTTTTGGTGTTATTTGAAAAAGGGTCTCTCTTATTATGTAAGCCAGGCTGGCCTTGAACTTACAGATATCCACCAGCATCTTCCTTCTTAGTGGGCTTATAGACATGTACAGTCATGCCTGGATCATGCAGTGCTGGGAATGAAACCCAGAGCCTCAAGCATACTAGGCATACTAGGCAAGAACTTTACCAAGGGAGCCACATCCCAGCCTCCCCGGGTTGGGTGGGTTTTTACAGTCATAAGAAGAATAGTAGATAGTGACTATATTCCTTATTTTTATGTGGCTGGGACCACATTTCCTGAGGGAAACAATGGAGGAAGGAATGACTTCTATTTTACTTCCTCGTGTGCATGTCTGTGTATGTACACATGCCTGTAGAGACCAGAGGTCAGCCTCAAGGGCCAATCCATCAAGTGCCATCCATCTTATTTTTGAGACTGTCTCTGCCAGCCTGGAGGTTGCCAAGAAGGTTAGACTGCTGGCCAGTGAGTCTCAGGGATCCCCCAGTCCCTGCCCTCCTGGTGCTGGGATTGATTGCAAAAGTACCACTCTGCCTGGCTTTTTAACACAGGCTGTGCGGGTTGAACTCAGGTCCTCAATTTGCAAGGCTAGCACTTTACCAACTAAGCCATCTCCTGCACACATGTGCACCTCCACACATGCAAAAACACGCACACACAGGAAAGGCGAGAAAGAGGAGGATGAAGAGAAGGAAGAGGGAAAAGGTGAATTCATCTACATGCCTAGCAAGTGAGCTGTCTACCACTGCACAACAAATGATCGGAAAGGCATTGACCCTAAATGACAATATGCTAATTATCATATCTTTGGGTCCATAATTCAGAGGCCACTCAACCAAGAGATTCAGTGTTTCTCCAGAGGTTATAATCCAGGTGTCAGCAGGGGCCATGTGTGGTATATATAATCCCAGCACTGGGGAGGCTGAATCAAGAGGATTGCCCGAGTTTGAGGACAACCTGGACTGCAGTGAGACAGTGTTTCAAATGAAAATAAGACAAACATAAAACTGGTCTGGGCTGTAGCTTAGGTAGCAGAGTGCTCAAGTAGCATGCATGGGGCCCTAAGCCCACCCCAGTACCACATATTGGGTGTGGCAGTACACACTTGGATGTGGGGGCAGGAGGGACAGATGCTCAAGGCTGTTATCAGCTATATAGCAAGTTCAAGGTCAGGCTGGGGTATATAAAACCCTATTTCAAAATAATTGAATAGTCAAGGGCTGGAGAGATGGCTCAGCAGTTAAAGATTAGGCTCACAACCAAAATAAATAGTGGCAGACACCTCTAATCCCAACACTGAGGAGGCAGAGGCAGGTGGGTTTCTTTTGCGTTTAAGGCCAGCCTGGTCTACATAGTGAGTGAGTTCTAGGCTGGCCAGGGCTACATAGTGAAAATTTATCTCAGTAAATAAATAAATAAAATCCAGCCAAGTCTATAGCTCAGTGGTGGAACACTTGCCTCCCATGTATGAGACCCACTACTGTGCAAAAAATAAAAATAAAGGACCAGTAGGATGGCTCAGCAGGCAAATATACTTGCCCCTGTGCTTACCTAGCTCAGTTTGGTCCCTGGGACCCACATGGTAGAGGGAGAGAATTTACTCCTTCAAGTTGTCCTCAGACCTGCACCAGTGTTTGTGATACACATACATTTACACACAGACATGAATAAATAAGGTAATAGAAAGGCAAAAGGTTCTGCAAAAGCATATGTAGTCTGTTCCAAGATACTTAATTAACAATTTGAAACTGGTTTATCATCTGATGGGTTGAGAGTGGTCATTGACACTCCCTGCCACTGGGTGGCACTAAGACTCTGCCTTTAGCAACTCCTGCCATTGAGCCTTCCCAGGTAGGTGGTCTTTGGCTTGGAAATTTCTTCTTCCATGTGTGGGTTCCTTTGGGCTACAGTTTGTAGGTATTTGCTGGTTTTGAGTCAGAGTCTTGTGTAGCCCAGGTTAGACTCAAACTCACTTGATAGCTGAGGAGGACCTTGAACTTCTGAACTTCTCCCCACATTCTGAGTGCTGGGATTACAGGCATATGACACCATGTTCTATGTAGTGCTGGGGATGGACCCAGAGACTTGGACATGCTAGCTAGGCAAGCTCTCTACCAACTGAGCTATGCCCCGAATCCCTTTGTTTGTACACTTTGGACTGCAGAGATGGCTCAGCAGTTTAAGAGCATGTAGTGCTCTTGCAGTGGACCTGATTTGGGAGCCCCAGCATTTATGTAGGGTGACTCACAACTACCTATAGCTACAGCTTCAGGGCACCTGACCCCTCTGGTATGAGAGGGCGCTTGATTCATGGGTACTCCCCCACCCCAGATACATATAAACAAAACTTTCTGAAAATTATGTTTTATGTATGTAGTAGTGTGTGTGTGTGTGTGTGTGTGTGTGTGTGTGTGAGAGAGAGAGAGAGAGAGAGAGAGAGAGAGAGAGAGAGAGAGAGAGGTGTCACAGCATGGTGTGGATTCTGCCATGTTATTCCTAGGGATTAAAGTCAGGTGATTAGGCTTGGCAGCAAGTGCCTTTTCTTTCTGACCCATCTCTCTGACCCCACCTTTTTTGAGATAGCACCTCATGTAGCCAGGGCTGTCCTCAACATCATTGTAGCTTGAACTTCTGATACCCCTGCCTCCACCTCCCAAGTACTGGAATTGTTGGTGTATATGGCATGCTCAGCTTGTTCTTAGTTTTAGGATTACAAGCTGGACCCTGGAGCCCTAAGAACTGTGTGGGGCTGGTGAGGTGGCTTGGCAGTAAAGGTGCCTGCTGCCAACCTGCCAACCTGAGTTCAGTCCCCGGACCCACATGGAAGGGAAGAACCATTTTCCACAAGTTGTCCTCTGACCTCCATATACATGCCCCCAAAACTAGTCAGTAAGTAAGTAAATGTAATTTAAACAACAACAACACTTTTCTTTTTATCAGGGGTGGCATTTCCCACTCAGAAAGAGACCACAGCCAACTATAACATTTTCACTTTAGGCAACTTACCTCAATTGGGTTGGGGTTGGTGGTAAACAATTTTAATCCCAGCACCCAGGGAATAGAATTAGGCAGCTCTCTGTGAATTCAAGGCCAGCCTGATCTACATAGGGAATATGTGGGCCAGCCAGGGCTAAGTAGTGAAGCTCTCTCAAAAGAAGAAAAAAAGAAACAAAACGAAAAGATGCCCTTGTGAAGCAAGGCCTGATAACCTGCCTTTCGGCCAGGTGTGCCGTAGTCACACTTGCCACGCCACCACTGCTGGTAAGGTTGAGGCCATGGGATCAGTGTCATCCTCCTGCCTCCACCTTCTGAGTTCTGGGGTTGCAAGTGTGTACCAACATGCCCAGATGCTATTCTTGATGAAACAGTAAGCGTGCTAGCTCCTGAAGCTGCTCGGTGAGGTGGCCGGGTTTTATGGGAGTCCCCAGTTGAGGCTAATGCTGACCCTGTAGTTGTGGACTATAAGTCTCTAGCAGTGGAGAGGCGGGTATCTAGGCTAAAGGTAACAATCTCAATGTGGTCTGGGACTTCTGTTTCAACTCCCTTGTGGCCTATGACCCACTAGTCTCTTGCTCAAGAGAGACATGGCTAGTGCCCTGTAATCTGCTGTCTGGACTCGGGGACCTCTGAGCCAGGCCACATGGGGAAGGGAGTGACTTCTGCCAGGGTACCTGCAAGTTCTCTCCCACCATGGTTTACAGATCCAGGTTCACCCTCCAGACAGATCCCTGTCACTTCTGACCTGAGCATCCCTTCTGGAAGTGTCCTTGCCTTCAAGAACAGAAGTTCAGTTTATTTAATCAAGTCAAATTAATTTATTTTTCTTTCCCTAGTTGATTTTAGTTTGTATCCGTGGAGGCTGGAAGATAGCCTTAGGTGTTGATCCTCAGGTGCTGTTCTCTTTCTAAAATGTTTTGTAAATTATGAGTTTTTTCTGGGTGGGGGTGTCACAAAGCTTGTGTGGGGGTCAGCTCCTTCCTTCCACCATTCAGGTCCTGGGATGGAAGGAAGTCTGGTCATCTGACTTGGTGACAGGCACCTTTACACACTGAGTCAGCTTCCTGCTCCCACCTTATTTTCTGAGACTCTCATTACATATAATTCACTGGATCAGTTGGCTGGCCAGCCATTGGAGCTCCAGGGATCTGTCCATCTTCACTGATGTGGGTCTGCCATACCCTGTGCCAGGGCATCTCAGCTGAGGCAGGATCGTGCAGACATTCTGTGGAAGCTGCATGTGTCTGCGTTAGTGATTTCCGTGCTGCTGTGACAGGACAGAACCAGCATGCGAGAGCAGAGACTGATTCTGGTTCATGGTTCTGGGGGATACAGCCTCCAGTCATTGGCACCGTGGGCCTGAGCATGAGCTCACGCTGTCAGAGTGGAGTGGAGGAGGAACACAACGGGGAGAGGCCATGATGTGCATGTACAGGTCAGAGGACAGTGGGCACCTGTGGCTTCCAGAGGTGGAACTCAGGTTCTCCAGCTTAGCAGCAAATGTCTGCACGATCCTGCCTCAGCTGAGATGCCATCTCACTGGCCCTGCATTTCCTCTTTTCATTCATGAGCTATATTCATGAACAAGTTTAAGGTTTAAATTTATATCAGACCATAAAAAGAGGGTCAGTGAGATGACCCCCCAGTCCCCACATAGTGGAAAAAGAGAATAAACTCCTGCACCATGACTGATTTCTACATATGACACATTTACACACACACACACATACACCAGACACAATGATACATGCCTCTAATCTCCATACTCAGGAGGGTAATGAGTTCCAGGCCAGACTGAGCTACATAGATCTCTTGGAAACAAGACCAAAACTACAAGAAGATAGCACTTCACACCCACTAAGATGAACATAATAATAAAAAAAGATGAATAATAACAAGTGTTGGTGAGAATGTGGAGACACTGGAACCTTTGTACACCATTGAACTTAGTGTGAAAGGGCCTGGGTGTAGTGGCTCACAACTAATCCCAGCATTGGAGAAACTGAGGCTGGAGGATTGCCATAATTTCAAAGGCAAGTCTGGGCTATGTAGTGAGTTCTAGGCATGATTCTGATGGTGAGACCCTGACTCAAAAAATAAAACAAAATCAGAGCCAGTAAAATGGTATAAAGTGCCTACGAACAGACCCACAAGCTGAGTTTCATCCCTGGATCCCAAAAGGGATAGGACAGAACCAACTTCTAAGTCTTGGCCTCTCAACTCCATGTGTATACTGTGGCATATGTGTATACCTGCACACACATACACACACCATTAAAAAGAAAATAAATTCATAAAAATTACAAAGTTGCCAGGTGGTGGTGGCACATGCCTTTAGTCTCAGCACTCAGGAGGCAGAGGCAGACGAATCTCTGCCTCAAGGCTAGCCTGGTCTACAAGGCTACACAGAGAAACCACATCTTGGAAAACCAAAAAAATAAAAAACAAAAAAATAACAAAATTATAAACTGACCCAAAGTTGGATATTTGTGGAACACACCTTTACTTCCAGCACTTGGGAAGCAGAGGAGGCAGATGTCTGAGTTCAAGGCCAGCCTGGTCTACAGAATGAATTCTAAGCCAGCCTGGGCTACACAGAGAAACTCTGTCTTGAAAAACAAAAAAGCAAAACAATGAAAAACTAACCTGAACAAAACACAACTATAAGAGCAGGATATAGGGGCTGGAGAGATGGCTCAGAGGTTAAGAGCACTGGCTGCTCTTCCAGAGGTCCTCAGTTCAATTCCCAACAACCACATGGTGGCTCACAGCCATCTATAATAAAATATGGTGCCCTCTTCTGATCTGCAGGCAGAACACTGTATATATACATAATAAATATTTTTTAAAGAAAAGAACAATATAAAATGGTCTAGTGTAAAGAAAGCGATGGCAATTCCTCACAGGGTTAGGGTACATACTCCAAGGAAATGAAAACACATCACACAAAATTTGTACATTGGTCATAATAGCCCACAGTAGAAACAGCACAGATGTCTTAATAAGCCAGTGAAAAGCTGAAACAGAATGCAATACATCCACAGAATGGAATATTATTCAGTTGTAATGAGGTATCATTGTTTAAGCACACAAACTGCTCTTATAGAGAGGACCTGAGTTCAGTTCCCAGAACCCATGTCAGATAGCTCACAACCATCTGTAACTCCAGATCTTGGGGATCAGGTACCCTATACTGGCCTCCATGGGCACCTGCACTCATGTGCACAAATCCACAAACACATACATAATTTAAATTAATTGAGGGGGGAGGCTGGAGAAATGGCTCAATGATTAAAGAGTACCAGTTGCTCTTCCAGAGGACCTTGGTTTGAGTCTCAGAACCCAAATGGTTTCTCACACTGTCTATAACTCCAGTTCCAGGGGTTCCCTTGCCCTCTTCTGGCTTCTGCAGGGACTATACACATGTGGTACACAGACATACATGTAGGTGAAACACCCATACATTTTTTTAAGATTTTTATCTATTATGTATACAATTCTTTGTATGCATGCTTGCGCACCAGAAGAGGTCACCAGATATCATTATAGATGGTTGTGAGCTACCATATGGTTGCTGGGAATTGAACTCAGGTCCTCTGGAAGAGCAGTCAGTGCTTTTAACCTCTGAGCCATCTCTCCAGCCCACATGTATTTTGTTTTTGTTTTAAATCTTAAGCTTTCAGTTGTAACATTTTGCTCTATACTTGACTTGGACTTTGTCCTAATTTTGTTTTATGTGACCCTTGATTTGGGTTTCTGAGTAATTGTTTTCAGATGGAAGTGCCACCCATTCTAACACTAGGCAAATGCTAAACACACCTTGTACCTCTTTGGTCCCCATCCATAGAACTCTTACCTGGACCTGCCGTGGAATTTGGGCATATCCTCACCCACCTAACCCGACAGCCTGTCTATGTCCTCAGAGGGGGCTACGAGTGCTTCTCTGGCCTGTACCACTTCTTCCGGACCCAGAAGATCATCTGGATGCCCCAGGTAAGGCAGAAGGGTAAGCATACACTACTAGAAGTGAGGCTGGAGACTGACAGTGAGGTTTAGAGAGAGAAGATAGAGATAGCGGACATGAGGAAACGGGGGTGGAGAGTTTGGTCCATAATGGAAAATTCTGAGTTAACACCATAATGGGGAGGCCAAACATGGGGACCTAGAGGGGTGTGGTTTCAGGGGGCAGTATGCTTAGTCAGACAGTGCCAGAGTCAACTCTGAAATGTTTCCCATAGGCATATGCCTTGAATACTTGTTCCCCAGCCAGAGTCCCTCCTCAGGTGGTCACAGAGCCTTTAGGAGGTGGAGCCTGGCTGATGGAAGTAGGTCCTAGGGGTGGGCAGCTTTTCTCACTGCCATAAACAGGACTCCGTCTCCATGCCTTTCCTACCATAATGGGTTAAAGTCTCTCTGAAACTGAGAGCCACAGTAAACCTTTCCTTTTCTAGTATTTTGTACCAAGAATGCTGCTAGATTTCTTTTTTTCTGGTTATACTGATTTATTTTGTGCTGTGTGTGTGAATGTTGTACATGCGTGTATGCATGCACATGTGCATGTGCGTGCGTGCGTGCGTGCGTGCGTGCGTGCGTGCGTGTGTGTGTGTGTGTGTGTGTGTGTGTGTGTATGCGAGTGCCATGATGCATATATGGAAATCAGATTCCCTTCTTCAAATATGTGGGGCACAAGGATTGGATTCAAGTTGCTTGATAGCAAGCAGCAACCTCAAGTGGACAAGTTTTGAACCACAAGTTGTCCATTCCAACCTTTGTGTGTGTGGCCAGGTGCAAACTGGTGTCATGAAGGAAGGGGACATGAGTATGGAGACCTGTTCATGTACTGTGATGCTGTGGGTCAGTCCTTGTTTGCACCCAGGCCTCTGACTTCTCATGTGAGGTATTTGTTGCCAATGCATTTGAAACTCAACCTCCGCCAGTCTCCTTCACTGCCTTGGGTTATTCTTCTGAGCTCGTCTTTACAGCTACACCCCCAGAGAAGGACTTCCCTCTTATGTGCGGCAGCCTCCTTCCTTCCCCACCCCAGGAACTTGATGCCTTCCAGCCATATCCAGTTGAGATAATTCCAGGCAAGATCTTCATGGGCAAATTCAGTCAAGCCTGCAATGCTAAAATTCACAAGGATTTGAAAATTAAAGCACATGTCAATGTTTCCATGGAGGCAACACCCTAGTAAGTAAAGGTGATATTTGTGTGTGTGTGTGTGTGTGTGTGTGTGTGTGTGGTATGTGAGTGTGCACACAGATGTGGGTGCCTGTGTATATGGAGGCTATATGTTGATGTTGGGTGCCTTCCTCTGTCATTCTCCACTTTATTTATTTTTGGTATTTCAAGACAGGGTATTTCTGTGTAGCCCTGGCTGCTGGAACTTGCTGTGTAGACCAGGCTGGCCTCAAACTCACAGAGCTCTACCTGCCTCTGCCTTCTGAGTGCTGGGATTAAAGGCATCAGCTACCACTGCCCATCTCTCCACTTTTTTTTTTTTTTTTTTTTTTTTTTTGAGACAGTGTCTCTCACTGAGCCCAGTGCTCACGGATTGGATAATGTGGCTAGTCAGCAAGTTTGGGGGATCTGTCTCAGGTTCCCTAGCTTTAGCCCTAGGTTTCCAGATATGTGCCCCTATTAGTCCATCTTTTTATGCAGATGCTGGGGATTATAACACAGGTCCTTACGCTTGTGCAGGTGTTTTGCTAACAGCCATCTCCCTAGCTCATGGTTTTTATTTAAGGTTAAGAGTCACTTATTTTTTAGAGATTTATTTATTATGCATACAATGTTCTGCCTGCGTATATGCCAGAAGAGGGCACCAGATCTCATTACAGATGGTTGTGAGCCACACTCAGGATCTATGGAAGAGCAGCCAGTGCTCTTAACCACTGAGCCATCTCTCCAGCCCCCACTTATTTATACATGCTTCCTACTGCTATAGTTTGTTATATTTTTTCCTTTAGTGCTAGGGATTAAACTCAGGTCTCTCACATACTGGCCAAGTGATCTTCTGCTGAGTCAGCCCCATTCCTTCACTGGGGGATTCTAGGCAGGTGCTCTACCACTGAGCCACACCCCAGCCCCTCACTGGGGATTTCTAATTAGATGTCTTCTCTCAGGCATTCTCTGTGTGTATGTGCATGTGTATGATTGTATGTGCAGGCCAAATGACAGTCTCCAGTGTCATTCTGCAGGAACGGTCTGCATGTTTTAAAAGATAGGACCTCTCAGGCCTAGAGTTCACCAAGTAGGCTAGGCTGGCTAGAGTGAGGCCAGGGATCCCTCTGCCCCTACTTCCCCAGTGCTGGAATTACAAGTGCAGCCCACCAAGTCTGGCTTTTTTTGGGGGGGGGAAGGACTGGAGAATCAAACTCATGTCCTGATGGTTGCCTAATAAGCCCTGTAAGCCCCCAGGTAATATTTCTACTAGTTCCTATCATCCTGATGTCTGCCCCCAATCATTCCCTTGTGGTTTCTGTGCTATGGACAAAGGACACCATAGTGGGGCTGGTTGATCACCAGGTGTTGTGTGGCTTTTCCTGGGGGTGATGTGAATAAAACATCTCTTCACCCCAGATAGGACACTGATGACAGACTAAAAGTAAGGACACCCCTACCAAAGTTCAACCAGTGAATTTACTGTGGCTTCTTAACAGGTGCATGTCTGTGGGAAGATTATGTACAGGAACGTGGATGATTCACAGGCAGTTAAGTCAGCAGTCAGGATAGCTGTGACCCTGGAACTCCCTGCAGGACTCACAGATAGCCCCTCAGGCCAGAGAGCATCCTCTCACCTGCAGTTGTTACTGCCTGTATAGCCTGGGGAGGGGCCTGGTGAATCTTGTAAGTTTCAGGAAGTTGCTGGGGCTTGCAAGTTTCTCAGTTCCTGAGCCTTGGAAATTTCCTTTACTTCCTGAGTTTTAAGAAGCTTCCCTCCTGGAAGGAAACAGATACTCAACACCACGCTGCCTTCCTTCAGTTTTGTAGGTGATGGAGACAAGCTCTTGCATATCAAGATAGAGGATTCTTCAGATTCCAACCTTTTCAATTCTTTCCGCCACATCTGTCATTTCATGGGTAAGGAGAATTTCCAGATCAGGGAGCACCCTTCTTGTGCTGATAAGTCTCTCCCTGTCAGAGAACCTCCCCCCCAAGGACTTGGAGAAGTACAAAATCTAGCATGTCAGCTGCTTCAAAGCCTCAGCACTGTGTACGTGAGCAGCTTAGGAATAGCATCCAGTGACAGCACCACTCTGTATCTGATCGGCCTGTTCTCACCTTAGCTACATGGCCACACTCTTCTGAGCTAGTGCTACAGTGAAGATACTGGCCAGACATGGGTGTGCCGTGGTTTGGGTGCCTGCTCCTCTGGGGTCTGGGGCCTCAGAAGTGCTTCTCTTCCTGTTTCTGAGTTCAGTACTAGTCAGTAGAGTGGGGTAAGGGAACATTTTAGTTAGGGTTACTGTTGCTGCAAAGAGACACCATCATGACCCATGGCAACTCATAAAGAAAACATTAAATGGGGCTGGCTCGCTTACAGTTTCAGAGGTTCAGTTCATTATCATCATAACAGGGAGCATGGTGGCTCACAGGCAGACGTGCTGGAGCTGAGAGTCCTTATGCCTTGGTAGGCAGGCATCAGAAAGTCAACTGACACGCTGGGCAGTATCCCTCAAAGCCCACCCCCACAGTGACACACTTCTCCAGCCAGGCCACATTCACTCCAACAGAGCCACACCTCCTAAGAGTGCCACTCCCTATGAGAGTGTGGGGGCCAGTTACATCCAAACTACCACAGGGAAGAAAGGTACCCCCAAACCATCCATCTCTGATTCCCATCATGCTTCATGTGTCTGCTTGGCTCTGCTCAGGCTTTCCACTTGCCATAACAATGCTCATCTCTGCTTAGCATAACAAGGGAGGTCTTTCAGTCAGTCTCAGGGCTCAGAGTTGATAGGAAAAGCAAGATCCCCAACAGCTCTGTTGAGTTGGGTTAGGAGTCTTGGCCTCCAGCATGGCACCAACTCATCCCCCAACCCAAGCTTGAATGGCTGGGAGTGGGGTGGTATCCTCCAATACCCCTTATTTGCCCAGAAATTCACCACTTTCACTTTTTAACTTTTTTTTTCAACTTGAGGGATACAACCAGAATGGAACACATGCTAGGTAAGTGCTGTACCTGTGAGCCCTGCCACAGCTCAGCTCCTCACTGGGGGATTCTAGGCAGGGACTCCATCACTGAGCCACACCCCCAGCCCCTCACTGGGGGATTCTAGGACCCCCCAGTCTTCTTTTTTATCTTTTATTTTGGCAGCATCTCCCTAGGTTACCTAGGCTGGTCTTAAACTTTCTATCTTTCTTCCTCAGTCTCTGAACATCTAGGATTCCAGGCCTGGCCTGCACTGTTAGGCCTGGCAAGGCTGGCCTCCTGCTGGCCACTGAGGTCCTCCAGGAAGAGTGCCATTCATGCCCTCTTGCTTCCTTCCTTTGCAGAAATCCACCTCCGGCTCCGCTCTGTGGTCCTGGTCTTTTCCACCCGGGGCATCAGCCGCAGCAGCGCTGCTGTGGTGGCCTTCCTCATGCATTATAATGAGGAGACCCTGAAGGTACGAGTTACGGGGCTGAGTCTGGTACTTGATGGTAGAATGCTGCTCACCTGGCTCACAAAAGGCTCTAGGTCCAAGTCAGGCATGGTAGTTTATACCTTTAATCCCAGCACTCAATGTATAGCCAGGGCTGTGCATTGACACCCTGTCTCAAGCAAAGAAACAGAGGCTCTGGGTTCAGTTCCCATCGACACATAAAGCAGGTATGCCGGGGCAGGCCTAATCGTAGGGCTGTGACTGGAAAGGGAGGCAGGAGAATCAGGAGTTGAGGTCATAAGGAGCAAGTTTGAGGTCACACTGGCTACATGATACCCTGGCTTTAAGAAGTATGTGCACAAGCACCCTAGGAGGGGCCCGAGCTGGATCTGGGCATGCTTAGCACATCCACACTACCTCAGGGTCTTAGTTTCAACAGCTGTCACCCAGCCCACAGTCCTTTTGCTTCAGGCTGGCAGGGGCTCAGCCAGTCCAGGCTCTGGATGACAGTGCTAGGAATTCAGCCCCAGCCCTCGGCAAGAACAGCATAGGTTGTCCTTAGCTGCTGAGCAATTTCTCCAACCCCTGGATCCTTTTTCTGTGGCTGTGACAAAATACTCCACAAAAGCAGCTGCAGGGAGAAAAGGTCATTCTAGCCTGTAGTTCCAGGTTATAGTCCGCAGTGGTGTGGCAGCAGGGCAGCAGGAGCTGGAGGCAGCTGGTCACATGGAGTGATGCATGCATACCGCAGCTCTGCTCACTGTTGAATGCATGCTCCAGCTGAGCTTGGTGATGCATGTATACTGTAGTTCAGCTCACGTTCTCCATTTCCTGTGTCCAGGATCCCAGCCAAGGGAAGGTCCTGCCCACCATAAAGTTGGGTCTTCCTGCACTTATTGACACAATCAAGTCAGTCTTCCACAGATAGTCCTACATTGGGACTCTTCTGGGTGATTCCAGACCCTTCCAAGCTCGCAACTGAAATTAGCTACCAAGGTTTCCCAGGTAGTTTGGGTTGTTCCAAGGAGAATTTCATGGAGCTATAGAATGTCTGGGCTGGCTGGGCCTTAGCCTGTTGATCTTCCTTTACCTTGAGAGCAAAGGGACAGAAAGTAGAATCTTGTACAGCAACACCAGCGGAAGTCATGGCTGACGTCAGGCTGTAGTAGGTTAGTGTTGTGTTAGGGTTAGGGTTAGCTAGTCACAGTTTGCTTGCAGGCTCAGAGGCCATGAACACAGTCTAAACAACCCCCAGATTTTAACCTGTCCAGTGTGTGGTTCGCTGGTGGAGTGCTTGCCTATACACCCCCAGTGGGGGGGGAGGTGGCCCAGTGGAAGAGAGGTTGCCTAGAATCCCTAATGAGGATCTGCAAGAGTAGCTGTGTATGCTTTGCTAGAATCCTCCAGTGAGCAGCTGGGGCTGTGGGTGAGCAATAGTAGGCTTGCCTAGAGTCCACAAGGACCTGGGTTTGATCCCCACCTAGCACTTGGAAAACAAAACAAAACCCCAGTAGCTTTTGAGCCATCCAACCCCAATATTGTCCATCCTTTCTGGTCATATCAAAGTAGAGCTGACAGGCTTCTCGCCAGGGTGAGTAGAGATGAGGGTGGCATGAACCCTCCTCTGACTTGGCTCCTTCCCTAGACAAGCTAGGGCTTGATGGTGTGCAGGGCCTGTGCTGCCTCCTGTCCTTGTCCCCGGCAGTGGCTGTTGCTGGGTCTCTTCAGGCGCAGGTGAGTCCGGACTCAGGAGGAGCCCTGGCACTTGTCCCTGGAGCAGCCATCTTTGTCCCCTTTGTAGGAAGTCCCAACATTGGGCACTCTTCCCACAGATGACATCTAGATAACTCTTGACCAAAAAGAGCTGTTTAGCTCACATTGCTGTGGCCTGGAGTGTCTGCCTCTCACTTGCCTTGGCAGTTGGCTCATTAGCATAGCTTGACCTGGGTTTGACTCCAGGATCCTGACATAGACAGGGCATGCTGGGACAAGCTCTCTGTCAGTGCAGTGGGCGTGTTGGACCCTCTGGTACCTGTGTCCCTTAAGGATCCTTAGAAAAGGGCTGACAAGGTGACTAAACAGGTAAAACCTCTGCCTTGCAATCCTGGCCACCTGGGTTTTAACGCCTGGTAAGCTGGAAGGAGAGAACTATTCCACAACTGACCTCCAAAGTATGCCCTGGCATGCATGCCGCCATACAGAGGATGCACACACAGAGTAATCATTTTTTTGTTGTTGTTGTTTTTGTTTTTGAGACAGGGTTTCTCTGTGTACTCTTGGTTGTCCTGGAACTAGCTCTTGTAGATCAGGCTGGACTCAACTCACAGAGATCCATCTGCCTCTACCTCCCAAGTGCTGGGATTAAAGGTGTGCGCCACCACTGCCTGGCCTATTTTTGTTTTTTTTTTTTTTTAAAGAAGATTTGCTTATTTTTATTTTATGTGCACTGGTGTTTCTATTTGTGTATCAGTGCACAACATGCATGCGGTACCCACAGAGGCCAGAAGAGGGAATCAGATCCACTGCAACTGGAGTTCTACCCATTTGTGAACCACAGTATGAGTTCTGGGAATTGAACCTGGGTCCTCTGGAAGAGTAGCAGTTGCTTTTAACCTTGGAGCCATCTCTCTAGCCCCCATATAGTGATTTGTTTTGTTTTAGATACGTTTCACTAGCATAGATTTTGCTACATAGTTCACGGTGGTCTGAAACTCACGAATAACCCAGGCCCAACTGTAACTGTCTGTAGACCTTAGGCTTACATAGAACTCACAATCCTTCTTCCCACCCTGGCCTCCTGAGTGCTGGGGTTATAGCTGTGTTCCACTGACCCTGGCCCTTTTAGTTCTTTATATGTGATGGAATGTTCACAGTGACCTTGTAGCTTAAATTCCATCCTGCTCCCCAGCTTTTTTTTTTTTTTTTTTTTTTTTTGGGATGTGGTAAGTCTGGGTGCTTTCTTCAAGGCTGCACAGCTACATACACTACAGCAGGGATCCAAAGCCCATTGGCTCAGGTGCAGGGTCCCAAAGTAATGGGAAGAGTACAGACAGCCTTGCAGCCTTAAGACCAGGGCCTGCTGACCGTCAGCAAGTTTGTGCCCTGGTAAGTGCTTCACCTTCCGTCTCAGGGTAGGCAGGACAAGACCTTTCTGCCTGTGAGAGTCCTAGCAGATGTGTTATGAGCTGAGGTGTGCAGTGGGTTTAGCGGGCAGCAGCCTACCAATTAAGCCATCCTTCTTAATGACTTCTAAACATGGACTTTAGTGGTAAGTACATTCAGGTTGTAAACCAGCTTGTAAACTTTCACTTCTTGGAAAACTGAAATTCTGAGCCTAGTGATTGATAGTCAGTCTCCTTTCTTAATCCCAGCCTCTGGCAACCTCCACTGTACTTACTGTCCAGTTTGTCTACATTCAGTATCTTACATAATTTAAAATATCCTTTTGTGTGTATGTTCATGTGCACGTGTTTATGTGCATATGAGGGTGTGTGCATGTGTGTGGGTGTGTATGAGGGTGTGTGTGTATTAAGACATGTATGTGTGTATAGGAGGCTGTGTTTGTGTATGTACGTATGAACGTGTCTATATGAGGGTGTTGTGTATGTGGTGTTTGAGGGTGTGTATGTGTGTGTATGTGTGTATATGAGGGTATGTGTGTGTGTATGTATATGAGGGTGTTATGTATGTGTGTATATGTGTGTGGATGTGTGTGTATATGAGTGTGTATGTGTGTGTGTATGTATATGAGGGTGTGGATATGTGTGTATGTGTGTGTGTGTATGTATATGAGGCTGTGTGTGTGAGGGTATGTGTGGGGTCAGAGGACAGCTTCAGGTGTCATTCCTCAGACATTATCCACCTTTGAGGTGTTTTGGAGACGAGTCCTTTCAGTGGCCTGATGCTTGCTGAGTAGGCTGGCTGACCAGCAAGCCCCAGGGATCCATCTGTCTCCAGCTCCCCAGTGCTGGGGATAAACATGGCTTCTGGGGATCAAATGCAGGTCCTCATGCTTATAAGGCAATCACTTTACTGGCTGAGCCAGTGCTAGAATCCCTTCCTTCTTCCCTCCCTCCCTCTCTCCCTCCCTCCTTTCCTTCCTTTCTTCCTTAATGTGTATGTGTTGTGCCAGAGGGTATGTATCTATGTGGATCTTGGGTGCAGGAATTTTGGAGGCCAAACGCATCTGATCCAAAGCACTGTCATTACAAGTGGTTGGAAGATGCTGTCATTACATGTGGCCACGTGTGTAGATGCTGGGAACTAATCCTGAGTCCTCTGGAATGGCAGCAAGTGCTATAAATCACTGAGTCATCCCTCAAGGCCTTTCACTTGATTTCTTAATTTGTTTTCTTCCTCTTCCTCCTGTTCCTTTTCCTCCTCTTCTCTTTGAACTGTTCATTATCAATTGGCACATAGAAACAACTGAGTTATGTTTTTAATTTATTACCCTGAAATTTTCCTGTGTTTATTAGCTCGTGTGTGTGTGTTGTGTGTGTGTGTGTGTGTGTGTGTGTGTGTGTGTGTGTGTGTGTGTTGGGGGTACACATGAGTGCAGTTGCCCTCAGAAGCCAGAAGAGGTCTTTAGATCCCCAGGAGCTGGAGTTAAAGGAGATTATGAGTTTCCTGATGTGGGTGCTAGGAACCAAACTCAGGTCCTCTGAGGCATCACTCCAGCCCTTAAGGTACCATTTTGCTTTCCCGCTGCTCTCTGTCTCTAACCCAGATGACGACCAGGTGCATGCATGCCTTTTTCCTAGATCAACCCATCTGCATGCCACTGTGGATGCAGCACGTGGAGGAAGGCACCTTTGCCTTTCCGTCTTTCCAGAACTCACTCACAGTTCTTGTCATCTCTCCAGTGATTGAGCCAGTCCCAGTGCAAGCCTTGTTGTGGCTGCTGTGTGTCCCAGGTGCAGCCTGGCTTTATCCTGCCCACAGGAGGTTGCATGCATTCTGTTTCAATCTTCTCAGGAGCCACGTGAAACAGAATTAACATCTGTGCTGAGTCAGAAGTACAGGAGCTTGCCTGTGGCCTGGACTGTGCCCAGGGCTCCTTGCCTTGATGAGTTCACCCCAGGATGCTGTTCTGTGTTCTGTCTGTGCTTAAATTCTTTCTTTCCTCTCCTTTAAGTGTGTTGTTCATGTTCATTTCTCTCTCTCTCTCTCTCTCTCTCTCTCTCTCTCTCTCTCTCTCTCTCTCTCTCTCTCTCTCTGTGTGTGTGTGTGTGTTGTGTGTTCACATGGCACATGTGCAGAAGTCAGTTTTCTTCTTGTACCAAATAGGTCACTAGGGTTGAACTCAGATCATCAGGCTAGGGAGCCCACTTTTCCTTTTTCCTTTCCTTTTCTTCCCTTCCCTTTCCCTTCCCTTCCTTTTCTCCTCTCTTTCCTCTCTCCCTCCCTCCCTCTCCTTCCTTCCTTACCTCCCTCCCTCTTTCTTTCTTCCTTCTCTTGCTTTCTTCCCCCTTTCTCTTTTTCTTCTTTTCTTTCTGCACTCCACAGTTAGGCTAGACCAGCTGGCCAATGAGCCTCAAGAATCCTGTCTCCACTTCCCCAGCACTAACATTCTAGCCCCTGTGTCTGCATCTAATCTTAAGTCATCATGTGGGCTTCTGGGGAGGTATCTCCTGCCCCCCCCCCCAGCTGGCTGTGATCTAGTCTGGAAGGATCCCACTGCCTGTCCTGAAATCTTCCATATCTCTACATTCACAGAGGTCCTGGGCCCATGTGAAGAAATGCAAAAACAACATGCGACCAAATCGGGGTTTGGTGGCTCAGCTGCTGGAATGGGAGAAAATTATCCATGGGGAATATATCACAGACATCAGTGACCCTATCTACTGACCTTCACCTGTGGCCCACCTGGGCCTGAGGAACCTTGCTTGGGACTTCTGGTGGGATGGGGGTTAGGTTTGCATTTGGAGTTGTCTAGAAGACCTCTGTGACCTGAAGTGTCATGTCTACATCTTAAGACTGGTTCTGTGTGTGTGTATGTATATGTGTGTGTCCCACCCACATCAATACTGGGGATTGAACCTAGAGCAATGCTTCTCAACTTTTTTAATGCTGCGACCCTTTAGTACAGTTCCTCATCCTGTGGTGACCCCAACCATAAACTTATTTTCATTTCTACTTCATGACTGTCATTTTGCTACCATGAGGAATCATAATGTAAATATCCATTTTCCAATAGTCTTAGGCAACCCCTATGAAAGGGTCATCCAACCCACAGTTTGAGAACCACTGACCTAGAGCCTCAAGGACATTAGGCAAGCCCTCTATCATTGAGCTATATGCTTTGTTACAAGGTCTCATGTAGCCTGGGATGGTCTCAAACTTCACATAGCTGAAGAGGGCTCTAACTCATGCTCTTCCTGCCCCCATCTCCCCACTGCTGAGATCACGGTGTGCACCACTGTTTTAGTTTATGTGTTGCCAAAGGTGGACAGGGGCTTCCTGCATGCTAGCCAGGTGCTCTACCAACTAAGCCACACTCCCAGTCCTGCACTGGTTTTTTTCTAATCCAGTCCACACATACATACATATACACATACCATTAATATTTATTTGTTTTATCTTATGTATATAGATGTTTTGCCTGCATGAGTGTCTGTGCACCATGTTTATGCCTAGCTCCTACAGAAGTCAGAAAAGGGTATTGCATCCCTTGGAACTGGAGTTACAGATGTTTGTGAGTCACCATGTGGGTGCTGGGAACCAAGCCTGGATCCTCTGGAAAGGCAGCCAATGCTCTTAGCCACTGAGTCATATCTTCACCTGAAGAACTGGGGTCTAGCCAGCAGTGGTAATGCACACCTTTAATCCCAGCACGTGGGAGGCAGAGGCAAGCAGATCTCCAAGTCTGGTCTACAGAGCGAGTTCCAGGACAGCCAGGGCTACATAAAGAAACCCTGTATGAAAACAAAAACCAAAAGAACTGAGGTCTCATTACATACCCCTGGTTGCCCTTAGTCTTGCTGTTTCCCTGTCTCCAACTGATTGCTGGGGTTACATATGTGTTCCACCACTACCAGTCTTCTTAGGCTCTGCTTTATTCAACAGAGCTCCTCAGGAATCCCCACACCTGGAGGCAAGCTGTGCCCCCCCCAACTGTACTGCCTCTGGCTGGAGCAGCTGTTAAACACACTGATGACTTGGACTCTTTGGAGGTCACCTGGAGTGGGGGTGCTCAGCCGATGCTTTGTGTGGGTCCATTCAGAGAGGAACACAGTGTCCACTCCAGGGTGGAGATCCTCCAGCCCAGTCTTAGGGATACACCTGATTTCAGAGCCCCCAGAACAGGGGTCTTTGCCGAATGCCTAGAACCAGTATTCTGTCTACTGCCCTTGGATCACTGGGTACAGATTCTCTGTCTCATTATGAAGAAACAAGCTGGTTCTCTTACTGCCTAGTCCCAGGCTTCTAAACATTATGTCCATTTTTTTTCTCTTTTCATTTCAGACAGTTCTCATATAGTCTCATATAGCTCACTATGTAGCTGAGGATGACACTGAATTTCTGATCTTGTCTCTTCCTCCCAAGTGCCGGGAATACAGGCCTGCACCACCACACCAAGTTTATAGTACTGAGAATCAAACCCAGGGCTTCCTGCATGCTCCGGAGCCCCAAATTCCACAAGTCTTTACAAATTTTTTATTATATATTATTTTAAATTTTTATTGTGTTTTATGTGAATCTTTTGCAGGCACATGTGCCTGGTGCCTGTGGTGACCATAAGTGAGGGTGAGATTCCCTGGAACCGGAGTTACAGATGGTTACGAACCACTATGTGTTACTGGGTATTGACTCTAGGTCCTCTGGAAGAGCAGCCAGTGCTCTTAACCACTGAGCCTTCCTACACTTTTTTATGTGTGTATATGTAGACATGCCTTGGCACTTGTGTGGAGGTCACAGATGAAGTTGCTGAACCTGGTTCTTTCCACAGTGGGTCCTGGGATTGAACCCAGTCATCAGGCTTGACTGCAGGCAGTTTACCTGCTGAGCCATCTCACAGGTTCAAATTCCACAAGTCCTAAAGAGAGTTACTTCCCTAGATTCACAGATTACAGGAGGACTGTCAGCTATTGAAGAAAACATCTCCAGTTGTGGTGGTACATACCTTTAATCCCAGCACTTGGGAGGCAGAAGCAGGCAGATCTCTAAAAGTTCAAGACCAACCTGGTCTACAGAGCCATTTCCAGGTTAGCTAGGGCTACACAGAGAAACCCTGGTCTCAAAACAAGCGAAAGAAGAAGAAAGAAAAAAAAAAAAAAAAAAAAAAAAAAAAAAAAAACAACCAACCCTGGCTACCACCTGCCTCCTAGAATTTTCCACATAGTGCTGGGGGGGTGGGGGTGGGGTGGGGAGGAAGGGTGTCCCCTGATGACTATGACCTGGAACTTCTGATCCTTCTATCAGCATCTCCCAAGTCCGGGGATCACAGGTGTGTGCCTCCGCATCCGATTTATTACGTGATGTTGGGGATTGAAGTCAGTGTTCCTGCGTGCTAGACAAGCACTCTACCAATTTAGCTCCCAGCAGGACTTGTGGGGAGTTAAGTTTTGTATTTTAGGAGAGGCAGCCTACATGCTGTATGAAGGACACGGAAGGTGAGTACGGAAGACTCTGGGCCAAGAAAGGGGTGTCTTTAAAAAGCTGTAAGACAAGAGCTGTCCCTAGAGAGATGCAGCTTCCCAAGGACAAAAGTGTATGAAGTGCAGGGCGTGGTGGATGGTGCACGCTTCTAATCTCGGCACGCGGGAGGCAGAAGCATGGGGATCTCTCGGTTCCAGACCAGTCAGAGTTACGTAGTTAGACGCTATGTAAAGAAAATGTTGGAAGCACGTGTCGCCCTGGTTTGTGAGTGGTCCGAGGAAGACTATCAAGCTGATAAGATCTCCGGGCGCACAGGTCCGGCCACTGAGCCAGGAGACGCCCTGCGGTCACGTGGCCACGCCCAGTTCCCGTCCCAGGCTCCGATTGGCTGTTCCTAGGGGCGGGGCTCGCGCGGGGATTACGCCCGGCCTTTTCCCGTTGGCAGTCCTGGCAGCGCGAGCCCGGAAGCGGACGGGGGCGGTGGCGGAGGCGCCTCCGGCCGGCCGGGGTTGCAGCTCCGTCCTCCCCACTCGTGGCTCCCCGCGTACCGTGGCGTGGACAAAGAGATGCAGTCCCCGCCCCCAGACCCGCTGGGCGACTGCCTGCGCAACTGGGAGGATCTGCAGCAGGACTTCCAAGGTATTCAGGTGAGCGTCCCTGGGACCATCCGTGCCCCGAGCCACGTCTCTCTGTCTCGGGGACAAAGGTCCGGCAGCCCTAGGTCAGACATAGGGTAACTAGGAGGGGTCAGGGGTCGAGACCCTCCCCCACTTTCCCTTTCAAATGTCCGATGGGAGTCCCGATTGCCCGCGCGTCGCTGGCGTGCTTGGTTGGGCGGGATCCCTCCGTATCGGGCCATCTCGACTTTGTGCAAAGGCCTTGAAAACAGGTCAGGACTTCTCTGGTGGCCTTCCCTCTGCGCCGCTAACCGGTCTGGGACCTCCCTTCCTGGAGAGCGGTCACCCGAGACAGAGCCCAAGCCGGGCCCAGCCTTTTGGTTCAGTCACCCTGCAAACGTGCAGTCGGATGACGCCTTCCTCGCCCTTGGCCAACTCTTTGCTGAAAGATGCAGGGAAGCAAGTTTTGATAACACCCAGGCCTGGATGGAGATCTCAGCCGTCTGAGACAGAGGGACAGCGCCCACCTAGGAACAGGAGGAGGCTCGCCTTGGCGCTTCTTTCTTATAAGGAGAGGTGGGCGGGGCACACTATACCTGGATCTCTTGGCTTGGCAGAGTGTCTGAGACCATTGGAAAACTTCCCAGTTCCAGCTTGTGGTTGTCTGTGTCCTCTCTGTCCCCATACTAGAGAGAAGGAAGCTTCTGTTTCCAGGAAGGGCTATCACTGGGCAGAGGTGGCATATGCTAGACCCTGAGGAAGATGTGGCAGCCCTGTTTGGCATGAGAAACAGACCCAAATAGTGGAGCCTGGCCAGCTGGAGACTAGGTTAGACCTTTGCCTCTGCTGGACTGTGGCCAGACTCATGTCTCCATTGCAGCTGCCAACCCTTCCCAGCCTGCTTGTGTTAGAACTCTCTCTAGAGGCCTAGTCAACCCTAAATCTCCCAGTTTTGTCATCACTACGATGGCCTCTGCCTTGATTTCCCCACACTGCCCCTTGCCCTGTCTTTAGGTTGCAACTTGCAAGGTTCACCCACCAGGGCAAAGTGCTTGGGCCAAAGGTGCTTGCTGGAGGGGAGTGGATGGGAGGGATTGGCCTTAGGGCTGGAAGTCTTGTGCCCTTTGACCCAAGAGGAAACGTCAGGAATGCCTGGGTGGAAGGCATCGTGGGTAACCCTGTATTCCATTCCCTCAGGCGAGGCAGGTAGGAGGAACTGAGAAGGTTAGGGGTGAATTCAGGCTGCCCCTTTGGTCTAGAGCAATGGTTCTCAACCTTTGGGTCAAAACCCATTTTAGGGGGCAAAGACCCTTTCATGGGGGTCACCTACAGTCATTGGAAAACACAGATATTGACATTACAATTCATAACAGTAGTAAAATTGTAGTGTATGAAGTAGCAACAAAAATAATTTTATGGTGAGGGTCATCACAACATGAGGAACTGTATTAGAGGGTGGCAGCATTAGGAAGGTTGAGAAACCACTCCTGGACTGTTTGAAGATAATGCCAGACTCAGGTAGCACGCATGCGCGCGCGCACACCATAACCCAGGCAGAGCTAAAGACAATTGACCTGTTGTAGAGGACTGTTATCACGGAGGGTCTGATAGGAAGAAACCTAGTTCCTGGCTTGCCTGGGGCAAAGCAATCTCTGTAGCATAGAAAGTTCTACCTTCAGGGTTGGTTCCCTGCCCTGCAGTCAACCTAATGCCTTCTCCTTACCCTAGGAAACACACCGCCTGTACCGCCTGAAGCTAGAGGAACTGACCAAACTCCAGGACAACTGTACGAACTCCATCACTCGCCAGAAGAAAAAGCTCCAGGAGCTGGCCTTGGTGCTGAAAAAGTGAGGGTGGGGTGACTTCCTGCTGGGGGTGGGTGCTGCAGAACTCGGGGAGGGTGCCACTGGCTTACCCTGGCATAGTTCTACTCTTCCACACCCTGGGCTCTGTTCCTTTTTCTATCCCGAAGGGTTCCCACTGGGTTCCTGCAGGACTCGGGCTTTCCAGCCTGCACTGACTGACCCCTGCCATACTCCCAGATGCAGACCCTCTCTCCCGTCCGAGTCTGCGGAGGCCGCACAGGACCTGGAAAACCAGATGAAGGAGCGCCAAGGCCTCTTCTTTGACATGGAAGCCTATTTGCCTAAGAAGAACGGGTGAGTCCTTCCTTCTTCCAGCTGCGGAGATGTGAAGCCCTAGCCAGTCTCTCTGTCTTTCATTCAGCAAAGGAGGCCACGTTGATGGCCCAGCTGTCTGACAGCTCACCATTATGGGAGTTCCAAGGGGAGGGTTCAGGGAATTGGGGTCTCAGTGGTGGACATCTAACCCCACACATGGCCAGACACAGCTTCCTGGTGTAGGGATGCCTGAATCATCTTCAGAGGTAACGAACTAGCACATGCCTGTCGTCCTGACACTCTGGAAGCTGAGGCAGGAAGGTAGAGGGCCCAAGGTCCTCTGACTACATAGTGAATTCAGTGTTAGCCTGGTCAACATGGTGTGTTTCATCCCAGCCAGTGAGACCCTCTTTCAAAAAATAAACCAAAGGGGCTGGAGAGATGGCTCAATGGTTAAGAGTGCTGGCTACCAGGGTTTGATTCCCGGAACTTAGATGGTAGCTGACTACTGTCTGTAACTTCAGGGGATCCAACACCACTTTCTGGCCTCTATGGGCGTCAGGCACACATGGTACACATATAAACATGCTGGCAAAGCACCCATACATATAAAAAAAAGAAAATAAAAGCCAAGGGCTGGGGATGTAGCTGACTTGGAAGCATGCTTGTGAAACATGATTGATGGCCTGGGTAGTGAGACTGGATCTGCCTTGGGCAATGAGTTTGTGTCCTGGCTAGTTTTTTTTATCAGCTTGACACAGCTAGTGTCATCTGAGAGAAGGGAGCCTTAATTGAGAAAATACCTCCATAAGATCAGGCTGTAGGCAAGCCTGGGCATTTCCTTCCTTCCTTCCCTTCCTTCTTTCTTCCTCCTTCCCTTCCTTCCTTCCATCCCTCCATCCCTCCCTCCCCCTCTTGCTTCCTCCTTTTCTTTTTGATTTTTGAGTCAGACTTTCTCTGAGTAGCCCTGGCTGTCCTGGAACTCACTTTGTAGCCAGGCTGGCCTCGAACTCAGAGATCCACTTGCCTCTGCCTCCCTAATGCTGGGATCAAAGGTGGGCACCACCACACCCAGCTCTAATGTAGGGTATTTTCTTAATTAGTGATTGATGGTGAATGGCCCATCCCATTGTGGGTGGGGCCACCCCCTGGGCTGGTGGTCCTAGGTCCTATAAGAAAGCAGGCTGAGGAAGCCATGAGGAACAAGCCATTAAGCAGTACCTTCATAGCCTCTGCATCAGCTTCTGCCTCCAGGTTTCCATACGGTTTGAGTTTTTGCCTTGACTTCCCTCAATGGACTGATTCAGTGTATGTAAGTCAAATAAACCCTTTCCTCCCGAAGCTGTTTTTGCTCAAACTGTTTCATCACAGCAATAGTAACCCTGACTAAGACAGGGACGGTGGGGTATTGCTATGGCAAACCCAAGTATGTTGTTTGGGGGGGGGCTGTGGAAGGACTTTGGAACTTTGGGGCTAGAAAGCCGCTGAGTGTTGAAAGCTCAGTGGGCTGTTCTGTTGGAGCTGGGAAGATGGATGGAGGCCTGGCTTGTGAAGTTCAGGGGATAGGAGGGATGGCTCAGTGACTAAAAGCACTGGCTGCTCTTTCAGAGGACCTGGGTTCAATTCCCAGAACCCACATGGCAGTGGTGTCGAGGGGATCTGAGACCCTCTTCCAACCTTCAAGGGCAACAACCAAATAAATGATATGCCTGCAAGCAAAATACTCACACACATAAAATAAAGATTAAAAAAAAAAAGACTCTGCCATGGACATTTGCTGTTTAGAATTAAGATTTCATGGTTCTAGTGATCCGGGGCTGAAGAACTAGTGGTGATTAAGAAGAGACTAGCAGCCAGGAGGTGGTGGCACATGCCTTTAATCCCAGCACTCGGGAGGCAGAGGCAGGCAGATCTATGTGAGTTCAAGTCCAACCTGGTCTACGGAGTGAGTTCCAGGACAGGCTCCAAAGCCACAGAGAAAGCCTGTCTCAACACCCCCCTCCCCCCAAAAAAAGGCCAGCATTACTGAGGTGAAATCTCGTGGGAAGTGGTTCCTCAGAGTCAGCACACGGAAGCTGTGTTCTGGAGGCCTCCAAGGATGTCCTCACCCTGGCAGCTGAACTTGATTATGTGTAAGCATCTCCCAGGTGGTACTGGTTTTGAAGGCACGAAGAGGTCATGGAGAGCAGCTGACGCTTGGCACTTCAAGAGGCCAGGAGAGGCCATTGGTGAAGGTGCAGCCTCCGCAGTTGAAGAGGGTCAGAGGGAAGTTGAGGCTTAGCACCACATAGAGCACCTGGGAGAGGCTACTGGTGAAGGTGCAGTCTGGTTGTGTCAGGAGACCCCAGCATTCTGGAGATGATATTAAGCCCCGTTGGATGATCACTGAGGAAGCCCCAACCATGGAGTGGAGCCCGCCTGAGCCAAGGACACTGTCTGTGTGGGCTGAGGATGGTGGAGCCAGAGAAGTGACCCCGGTGGAGTTCAGAAAACTGAATCCCAGACATTGGATACTGAGTTAGCTACATACACAGCCTGAGCATGGTTTGGTTTTATTCAGATTGTGACCACCCTGGCTCTTCTCTCTTGAAGTAAGAAAGTATTTAATGTATTTTGGTTTTACAGGAGCCCACAGTTCAGAGACTTTGGGAAAGATTTTGGAGTTTTACAGAGACTTTTGATTTTTAAAAGGGACTTTGTAATTTTTTGTTTTGTCCTTTTTTATTTTTCAAGATGGTTTCTCTTTGTAGCCCCTGCTGTCCTGGATGGAACTCACTCTGTAGACCAGCCTGGCCTTGAACTCAGAGATCCATCTGCCTCTTGAGTACTGAGATTAAAGGGCACGTGTCACCAGTACCCAGCCAGACTTTATAATTTTTAAAGAGACCACACTTTTGAAGTGTTTGAGTTTGTAAAGTCTGTACTAATTTTAAATTGGTAATTATATTTTATATTGTGATGTTTATTAATATGAGATCTTGGGGATAAGCAAGAAAGGAAAGGTTAGTTTTAAGCTGGTAAGGGGTCAGTTGTCCTGGATAATTTTTATGTCAACTTGAGTCATCTGAGAGGAGGGAACCTTAACTGAGAAAATGCCTCAATAAGACAGTCTGTAAGCAAGCCTATAGGGCATTTTCTTGATTCCTAATTGCTGTGGAAAGGCCCAGCCCATTGTGGGTGGAGCCATCCCTGGGCTTGTGGTCCTGAATTCTAGAAAGTAGATTGAGAAAGCCTGTAAGCTGTTGTCCACCCATGGTCTCTGCTTGGGTTCTGTATCTGGAATCCTGCCCTGTTTGAGTTCCTGCCTTGGCTTCAGTGATTGGCGATCCAGGATATGTGAGACGAAGAAACTTTCCTCCCCAAGTCGCTTTTGATGGTGCTATTTCATCACAGCTGTAGTGATCCTAAAGCTCCGTTCAAATCCCCAGCCTCCTTTGTAGCCTCGGGCATCTCGGGCATCTCTGCCATGTGGAGGCCTGAGTGGTAACAAGCTTCCCTACTGGGTGCGGCTGCCTAGTTAGTGTCAGTGCTGCTGTCACTGCTGGAGCTCTGAGGACACCAGAGCTTCACATAGTGGGAGAGGTAGAAATACGAGGAGCCTGGCTTCGTTGGTTTTGGTGGTATGTTTTTGAGACAGGGTCTCTTGTGGCTCAGGCTAGCCTCAACTTCTGGTCTTCTGCCCCCACCTCCTAAGAGCTGGGTTTACAGGTGTGAGATTTTATGTGGTGCTGGTGATTGAACCCAGGACCTCGTGGATGTTAGGCAAGCACTCTACCAGCTGAGCCATCTCCTCCACCTGGAGTTTTGAAGGGAGGCCCTTGAGATGGGAATGAGGTCCGGTGTGTGGTCTGGGATGGAGGTGTGGTTTCTCATGGGGAAGGACATACAGCACTCTCAAGGAACCAACACGGGGAGGTCCCAGACAAAACACCACAGGCTGGAGATGCTGTTTACCCCAAGGATGGGATTCCGGAGCAGGCAGGGGTGGGGTGCCATGTGTGGTTGGTTAGTGGCGCCTCTTAAGCTTGGAGTACATCAAGTCCACGGGGAAGGCGACAGGCTCTAGACTGTAGTGTTTGTCTTTCTGTCACACAGGCCATCTTCTGTCTCTTAGGTTGTACCTGAGTCTGGTTCTGGGGAATGTCAACGTGACACTTCTGAGCAAGCAGGCCAAGTATGTGGTGGTGGTCGTCGGGGTTGGCTCTCACCCAGGCTTCCCCATCCACCTTTGACTTTGGTTGGTGTGGTCTTGGGGTTCTGGGTCAACTTCTCCAGGCTGGCCTGGGACCTCTGGGCATGGTGGAGAAGGGAGCACCCCCCACACCTGCCCGCCCATGAGTGGGAACGCCTGTCTCTGCACCCTCCCCCAGGTTTGCGTACAAAGATGAGTATGAGAAATTCAAGCTCTACCTCACCATCATTCTCATTGTCCTCTCCTTCTCCTGCCGCTTCCTGCTCAACTCCAGGTGAGCATCTTGGTCTGGGTTGCATCTTGGTCTGGGTTGGGACACAGCTGATCTTGGTCTGGATTGGGACAGGGTCGGGGATAAGGCTCTGGCATCTTTTCTTTGTACCCCACTCCCCAGGGTGACAGATGCTGCCTTCAACTTCCTGCTGGTATGGTATTACTGCACACTGACCATCCGAGAGAGCATCCTCATCAATAACGGTTCCAGGTGTGCATGCGCAGTGGGGTGGAGTAGCATGAGTTCTAAGGGGAAATGTGGAGATAGAGACCAAGTTCCCGTCTCCTCCCACCTAGATTCCTCTCTGCCCAGCCATCTCACTTCCTGTCTGTACAAACCTCCAGACCTCTAGGGTTAGCTAGTGGCTAGCGCTGCCCTCTGATCTTCAGGCAAGCTTTATTTGTATAAACAAAATACCACCACAGGGTGGGTCCTGGAGCACAGGGACTTTTTATCTGTGGGAGCTTCCCTGCTTCACAGGGGTAACTGGGACACCCTCTTTACAGGATCAAAGGCTGGTGGGTTTTCCATCATTACGTGTCCACATTCCTGTCGGGAGTCATGCTAACCTGGTGAGTGACCAAGACCTCATTTGGCAGGGGGAGGGGTGAGGCTGAAGACCAGGGCTCTCATACCTCCCTCCCTTTCTCTGCTTCCCTCTAAACTCAGGCCAGATGGTCTCATGTACCAGAAGTTCCGGAACCAGTTTCTGTCTTTCTCCATGTACCAGAGTGAGTTTCCTTGCTAGGGAGGGGACGGGAACATAAAGTTTGTGGCTGAGAGCTGGGTTCTGACACCCCCACCTGCCTGGCCGCCCAGGCTTTGTGCAGTTTCTGCAGTATTACTATCAGAGCGGGTGTCTGTACCGCCTGCGCGCCCTGGGTGAACGACACACTATGGATCTCACCGTAGGTGAGTCAGGTGACCCTGCCCTGCAGCCCCAAGGCCCCTGGGGAAGGGGGCTCTCCTGAGTGAAGGTTTCCTATCCCTTCCAGCCTGCTCACCACCTCAGCTTTTTCCCACCCCCTACAGAGGGCTTCCAGTCCTGGATGTGGAGAGGCCTTACCTTCCTGCTTCCTTTTCTCTTCTTTGGACATGTAAGTCACCCCTGGGTGTCCCCCTGTGACTGAGCCCCAGTGGGCACTACACTTACTGAACAGAGTCCCTCCTTTACAGTTCTGGCAGCTCTTTAATGCACTGACATTGTTCAACTTGGCCAGGGACCCTGAGTGCAAGGAGTGGCAGGTGAGCCTGGGGTCTGGAAGGATGTACAGAAGATTCCCTCTAGACCTCACCTGTCCTGACCCTGCCTTTCCCCTGCAGGTGCTCATGTGCGGCTTCCCCTTTCTTCTCCTCTTCCTTGGCAACTTTTTCACGACCCTCCGGGTGGTACACCAGAAGTTCCACAGCCAGCAGCAAGGGAGCAAGAAGGATTAAGCTAGATGTGATGGCCAGCCCCAAAGGGGCTTCGCCCTGTGTGCCAGGTGGGGTGGCAGGTTGGTGCACCCCGGTGTGTATGGGGGTTCCCTTCTGTGCCCCCTGGGCTTCGTGGGCTCTGTGGGCCCTGAGGAAGGCTTGGGCTCAGAGCCCAGCTTGTAGGATGTGGGCTCTGGGCCTCAATAAAGGAAGAGAGGCATGGAGGTGTCTGATGAATTTGCAGGTGTATCCTCCCAAGGGAGGCAGGGCTTGGAGCCCCCAACACAACACTGATTCTTGACTCCTAGTCTGGGGAGGAGGGTTGTCTAACTAACTGAAGCAGATCCCAAGATAGACCCCATACCGGCTCCAGCAACACCAGGCAAATACAGAAAACAACTTTATTCCAAGGGCCAGGTTATTTAAAATTATTTACACTCATTCAAAATCATGTGGTGGGGCTGCACCCCAGCTCAGTGGAGAGAAGAGCCCCTCTGTACAGCTGCCGAGGGCCTAAGGCACCCATCACCCAAAGGTGGGCCCAGTCCCTCTTGCCATGTGCCCTGGGGCTGTGCTGCCTGGTACAGTAGACCAGGCTCAGCCTAGGGGCCCAGGAGGGCATCAGTCAGGCCAGGAGTTCGGTCCCTTGGCCTCCCTGTGTTGAGGCCTAGCAGGAACCACCAGAGGTGGAGGTCGGCAGGAGGGAGTTAGGGAAGTGATTACAGGGAGCAAGGTGGGCAAGCGGGCTGTAGCTCCTAGCTCCACACATCCAGGGAGTAGCGGCCCTTGGTCATCAGCTTCTTCACATAGTCCACAGCCTGGGTGTGCTCCATGGGCCCAAACTCAGCCACAATGTCATAGAAGGTGTTCTGCACATCTTTGGCCATATTTCGAGCATCCCTGGGTGGAGACAGGACAAGAAGGTGTGAGGGGACTCGCTGGAGCCACCTGTAGGTGGGTAGTCAGCACCCTGTGCCTCCCCAGACCTCTTTACTCACCCACAGACATAGATGTGGGCACCACCTTCGTGGATGAGCTTCCACAGGTGTTCTTTGTCTCTCTTCAGCAGGTGTTGGACATAGACCTAGGGGAGGGTGGGCTGTAAGCAGTGTCTAAACCCCACAGCTCTGCCTCTTTGTGGGACAGCCCAGCCTAGCCCATCAGCACAGCTGCCTGCCTCACCTTGTGGGCCTGCTCCCGGGAAAAGGCCACATTAAGCTGCGTGAGGGCACCGTCCTTGTGAAAGCGGGCCAGCTCTTCGCGGTATAGATAGTCCTCATCCGAGCGCCGGCAGCCATAGTATAGCAGTGTCTCTCCAACCTCCTTGCCTGGGCAGGGGTGAGGCTGTGGTGAAGGGGAGCTCTGTGGCAATGCCCTGACTGATCACAAAACCAGAGTCCCATGGCTTACCTTGTTCCCGAAGCCAGGCTCGCTCCTGGATGAAGCCCATGAAGGGGGCAATCCCTGTGCCAGGGCCTACCATGATGACAGGTGTGGTGGACTTGAAAGGAAGGCGGAACTGAGATTTGCGCACGAACATGGGTACCAGGGCCCGGCGGCCATTCTCTCCTGCTGGTTCCTTAGCCCGAAGCCAGCTGGTGGCCACCCCCTTGTTTACTCGTCCAGACTTAGCTTCATACTCCACAGCCACAGCACAGATGTGTACAGAGTTGGGGTGGACCTAGAGGAAGGACTGGTGTGAGCTTGGGGGTACCTTTCTCAGTGGCTCTCCTTGCTGGGTGGCCAGAGTCCACTGGCCCAGGTGGTGCCTCCCTGGCAGAGCTGGTGCCCTTCACCTTAGAGGATGAGGCGATGGAGTAGTAGCGGGCCTGCAGCCGTGGTAGTAGCTCACACAGGTGGTCAATGGGTGGCCGCAGTGATGGGTAGTCTTGGAGAATGGCTAAGATGTGTCTCCGGGCCTCCACCACCCAGCTCAGGTACAGCTCCTGGGGAGTTGTGGGAGGAAGGTATGGGTATCCTGGGGTGTGTGTTGGAGGGTGTAGAGGCAGAGGGTGTGCAGGCTCACCTTGCCCTCTCCTGAGGATGACGCCATCTTGTGCAGGTGCTCTTGCTCCGAGGGCTCTGAGGCATACTGTGCTAGCTCGTAGAGTACATTGGTGCGTGGTGGATTGGTGATGTCCAGGTAGTAGGTGAGAGCCGTGCGGTAGGTAGTGGGGCAGGGGAATGGATGCTTCTTGTTGGACTCCTCTGCAGCAGAGAAGGATTGAGTGGTCACCCTTGGAGCAGGGTGCGGTTCATGGAGGATGGAGGTGCTGTGGGCCTTTGTAGCAGAGAGCTGGCACTCCAACCTGTTCTCTATTGTCTCCTCAACTCTGCCAAGGCTCAAGCTTTCTGCCAGGCTTGAACTTCAGGGTAGGCAGCCAGGCCTTAGAGGAAGCTCTCTCTCCTCTCCTCTCTCTCTCTCTCTCTCTCTGTGTGTGTGTGTGTGTGTGTGTGTGTAAGGGGGAGTGGCTAGCTTGAACGAAACCAGCTCCTCTACTGCAGGTTACTAAGGGCAGAGCCAGGACATGGGTAGGTACTAGATACCTGTGTCTACAGAGGGAGGCCCTGGGATACAGCAGCGTCCAGCACCTGCTCACTGTGAAGGAACCTAGTGGGCTCTGAGGGCTGCTAACCCAGTCCCTACATTTACCAGTGAGGATGGAGGCCCGGAAGCAGGGAGGCAACAACCTGTAGCCACAGAGGTAGCTGTGGAGCCCAGGCCTAAGACACAAGGCTTGGTTTAGCAGCCCCCGTCCAGGAGGATGTGTGGCGGGGTGCAGCTGGGCTGGTTCTGCCTCTTGGCCTCAGATGTCCTTTATAAGTATGACAGGGATGGAGGGCAAAACCTCATTACACAATCTTAGGGCATGGGGCCAGAGCCAGAAGCTCAACCTTCAGACCTAGACAAGGCCCCTGATTCCAGAACTCACCATCAAGATTGTTTAGAGACATGACGACATCTAGGTCAGCCCCTAGGATCTCCCCGATCTGGTTGACCAGGGTGGAGTCGTTCGCTGGGTACACAGCCACATGATCTCCAGATTCATACCTAGGATGGAAGTGCAAGGTTCAGGAGGAAGTGAGCAGATGACAGATGACTCAGTGCCAGGTTTGCCCCGGGGGTAGACAGAGGCGCCAGTTACCTGATCTTTGAGTCGGAGATGTCCAATTCCAAGTGCATCAGATGCCGCTCAGTACCCTGGTTCAGCTTCCGGTTAGTGGTGACAGCAGCCAGGAATGGATTCTTGGCATCGAAGGGGCTGATGGGAAGAAAGGAGGTCAGTGATTGGCTTAGGTCCTGCTTATACTAAACACTGGGAGCAATAGCTGGTGGGGGGGGGTGGGGACTTTGAGCCTTCAAGAGACATGAGGGAGCCAATTTAATATGGCAAGGGCTGTCCCAGCCCCATAAATAAATGAAGTGGGCAGAGCAAAGGGACATAGGAAAAGGAGCTGGCCCCTAAGAAACTTGTGAGACCCTCTGCATTCTGCCTAAGGGGGCCTGGGCCAGGGGGTGCAGCCACCATGGAAGCTACCTAGATCCTGAGATATTTGCATAGAACTTGACTTTCACACTCACATTCAGAGACCATGTGTCTATGACGACAGATGGAAGAATCTGCCCCAGCAGGGTGGCTAGCTTGACTCAGTGACGCATGACTGGGGAGGCTCTAGCATGAATAATCTGGGCAGCACCAAGGGGTATGTAGGGCCAAAGTGAGGACAGGATTTGGACTTTCTTTTTGGAGGGGGGGGGACGACAAGGTTACATGTATCCCAGGCTTGCCTTGGAACCCACTATGCAGTCGAGGATAACTAGACTTTTGATCTTCCCTCCTCCACTCCTATGTGCTGAACTTGTACATGTGTGCTGGGGACGGGACCCAGGGCCCCACGCCTGTTAGGTAAGCACTCTACCAGTTGAGTTACATGCCCAATAGCGATGGATTCTACGAAAGGAAGAGAGTTTCTTGTCCGGGTTTGACCTGCCAGGCTGGGCTCTGAGGTCTCAGTGGGGAGTAGCTCCTGTGCCTTGGTCAACTTGTTCCAGTTAGTGGACATGAAAGTGTGGTATCCCCGCTGTGCTCACTCATATGACTCTGGAGGGACACTCATCTGCCTGGGATGTGGGTACACGAGGGGCTTTCCGTCCCACTTTCCTTCCTCTACTTACGGTTTCTGGTTCTCATAGCTCTTCAGACGGCCCATCTCGCCCGTATAAACCTTGGCAGTATCAATGTCTTCGTGGACCACGAGCTCATACTGGCGAATGCTGGGAGGGGAAAACCAAGGCTGGGGTCAGGGCTGGGAAGAGGGAGGCTGCAGGGCCAGCCACAGCAAGAAAGGGCTTAAACTACACGGGGACACGAGTGGAAGACATAGGGCAGTAGGACACAGGGGACCCGACAGTGATGTAGTAGACGTAACAGAGAAGCAAAAGCAAGAGAAGGGCTGAGGCTGACCCCTGAGAGGACGAGCAGGCCATGAAGCACAGTGGAAAGGAAGCCGGTGTCCTGGCAATGCCACAGGACAGGAAGGGAGAACCCGACCTCACCCCCGCACCTAGAACAAGGACCTCCCAGACCCCATGCCTGAGCTCGACACCCTTCCCTACTCTGTCCCCAGGGCCACCCAGCCCAGGCCCCAGCCTCAGCCTTCCACTTACCTCGACTCTTCCCCAGTGGCTTCCACCCCGAAGAACTCGCACACGGCTGGCCAGAACTGCTCTCTCCATGTGATGAAATCCTCTTCCAAGCTGGAGAGAGGAGAGGCTTAGCCAGGCTGGACACCAGCCAGCTCTCAACCCTGCTAGGGGAAGGAAGGTGGCCAATACTCAAGGCTGGGACCCTGGACCAAGCAACTACGGTGACACTTACTTCCCATCATCATCACCAAGGCCCAATTCAAAGATGCGCTGGGCACCAAGCTGCTCCAGCCGCTGGTCCACATACTTGCCCATGGCATTGAAATGCTCATAGGTCTTGTTCCCAAGGCCGAACACCTGTGGGGACAGAAGGGGAGGTTCTGAGTGGGATCGATGTCCTCGGGGTGGACAGAAGCCTGCACTGGGAGCCTCTGGCACTATGGGCACTGAGAACATTGATGGCTCCTTTTATGACCAGCCTTTTTACACCTCAAATCCAAGTGACCAGCTTAGCTGGAGACTGAGATGTGCGGAACCCTCTCAAAGGTAAGGGAAGTGTTCTGTTCTTGTCCTT